TATTCTTCTGTTTTTCTCTGTGACGCACCTTCTTCCATCTCCTGTGATCATGCCACCTAAACATAGAAATGTATGTACGTATGTTAGACTTATTTCGAACCGTACGTAGCCAACCGCGCTAATCGGATGTGCGGGGAAGGACAACAACCTAAAGACAAACAGCAGCTCTAAAGAAATGAGGTTTCAATCTCTATGATGTAAAAGTGCAGAGCTCCAGTAGCTTCCTAACATTGGACGGAAGAGCGTTCCAGACGGCAGCAAAAGCGCATCTGAAAGCGCCTCGCGATGCGGTGACCACCGCCTTTGTTCGATGGTTCGCCCAAGCGGCCTCTGCGAGTTTGACTGGAGCTCGCGTGACGATGGTTTGTGCTCCTTGACGAGATCAGCGAGGTATTGTGGCGTATTAGTAGCAAGCACTTTGTGTGTAATGAGTGCGACCTGAGATTGTATTCGTTCGGTAACCAAAAGGCAATGCAGCTCAGACGAGCACCGGACTGACACGGTCGGATCTTGCAGTGCCCGTCACGACACGTGCCAAACACTGTAGTACACGCTGCAGATTGGTAACATTAGTCACGACTTGAGGGCAACGTGGCATTTCACCGCCCTGAGAAGACATCTTACAAACGGCGGTGTCAAGGCGAGGGGATAAATTACCATCAACGCTAATCTGGAACGCTGTCATTCACGACACGTGTCTGTGTGGCGTATCTCTCCACGTGGGCCTCGTCGTGTGTGATAGCGTGTGTCCTTGCCTTAGGTCGACTCAGCTTTAAGTAAGTACCAGGTACGGTGTGCGTAGTGACCAGCTGCGGAGAGACAAAGGCGGCCGGGCGTGGTGCTGGCTACATCACCCCCTCGTGAGCCATGCCGGCTCGCTAACAGCACTTGCCCCAGCAGTCTTTTCGAGGCAATATTGGGAACCTTTGTCTTGAGAGAATGTGTGTGTAATGTATCTCTGCATTAATATATGGATGTGCATCTATATTTAATTCTATAAGCACAGCTGAAAGCACTTTTATGAATGAGATTATGGAAAGTGTATACAGTCCGGTTACTATTTAACGGCCCTTTGACAATCCATTGCTGAATAAAAGCCTCTCCATGCCATGTCAGTCCTGGTTGTGTGGGAGGGGGGGGGGGGTGTTTTACCATACTTCACCACGCTGGTCAGTGCAGGTTAGAAAAGGGAATGCCCAGGCCCGGTTCCGATATCGCTCACCCAACTGGTGTCGGCCGTGACTTGGGAATGGGAAGTGGCGAGCGTTACGGTGGAGTGCGTTAACCGCTGCGCCACCGTTCATGAGGGAGGGTAGCCTCTCTTGAGAATGAGGTGGTCACGGTCATTGTAGGGTCCCATCTACACGAGGAACACGACAGCAATATCGTCCGTGTTGCTGTACAGATCGTGAGGCTACGCGGCGTATCAGTCAGCACCACCGGACCTCACGCTCCAGAGGTCGCCGCTTCGATTCGATCTCCTGGCGCGGCAGCTGAAGCGCCACGGTGGCTAGGAGATGTTGACTACCTCGCATGGTACACAGAAGGTCTGTGTCTCTCTCTCATCATCATCACGGTGGCTCAGAGATGTTGACTACCTCGCATGGTACACAGAAGGTCTGTGTGTCTCTCTCTCATCATCATCACGGTGGCTCAGAGATGTTGACTACCTCGCCTGGTGCACAGGAGGTCTGTGTCTCTCTCTCTCATCATCATCACGGTGGCTCATAGATGTTGACTACCTCGCCTGGTGCACAGGAGGTCTGTGTCTCTCTATCTCTCTCATCATCATCACGGTGGCTAGGAGATGTTGACTACCTCGCATGGTACACAGGAGGTCTGTGTGTCTCTCTCTCATCATCATCACGGTGGCTAGGAGATGTTGACTACCTCGCATGGTACACAGGAGGTCTGTGTCTTTCTCTCTCTCATCATCATCACGGTGGCTAGGAGATGTTGACTACCTCGCATGGTACACAGTAGATCTGTGTCTCTCTCATCATCATCACGGTGGCTCAGAGATGTTGACTACCTCGCCTGGTGCACAGGAGGTCTGTGTCTCTCTCTCTCTCATCATCATCACGGTGGCTCAGAGATGTTGACTACCTCGCCTGGTACACAGGAGGTCTGTGTCTCTCTCTCATCATCATCATCATCACGGTGGCTAGGAGATGTTGACTACCTCGCCTGGTACACGGAGGTCGTCGATTCGATCCCAGCCCTGACGCCTGCTGCTGTATGTTTCGAGTGCCCTCCAGTTCTTCCCTCCACATTTAGAAACGTGCGTTTAGAGTATTTGGCTGCGATAAATGTCACGTGATGAGCCACTTCGTTGAGATATCATTTTTCGCCACGTCGCTTCTGAAAAACATCTGTATAGCTCAGTGGGCCTTACCTGATAAAATAAAACATTGTTTAGTTTATAGTTTAGAAACAACGGTTCAAGTTTCTTAAACTACCCCTACCCCCCAACCGCCTAAGACCATCGAGCAGTGTAAATGTGTACCACCACAATCAATCGGCATTGTCAACGGAAGTGGATGTCACGGAACTACCGCGGAGTTCCATTCAAATGTCCAAGTCACTTCTGTTCCAAAGCAAAGGATGGGGCCGCTCGTTCAAGCCCGCGAAGCATGAGAGGGGAATATTCTATGCAAGACGGTTGACCTGAAAGTTTTAATTCTTAAAACTGGAATTTTGCCTAATTAAGTGTAGAGTCAATAGAATGTGAGCAGCCATCCGTGACTTGGACTGAGACCATCCCTGCGTTGCACAACGACAGATCCCGTACGATCACAAGCGGAGACTGAAACCTGGAGTCGAACCCAGGGAACTGATTGGTGGAGGCTCAGCGCTCCCACGGTCTGTCAGCCTGTAAAGAGGCAGGCGGGCCAATTGCCTGCACAGCCAGTCACTGTTCCCGCATTAAGCCCAGTTAACGAAGCCCGGCAGAATGCCGCTAACGAGCAATTAAATTCAATTAATGCCGGCGACGCCAGGGGTAATATGAATGGCAAGTAAGTGTTTGAATAACCCGTTATAAACGCATGCATCTCGGCCTTGTTCTGATGTCGGTGTCGAGACGAAGCTTCCCATCGGGTTGTGCCGACTGAACTCGAGTGCAGTTAGCGAGCACCTGTTTAGGCGCAGCCCTGACAGGTCTTGGCTCACGACACTGCTGGTGGAAGGGCCTCCACCAGTGGGAGGTCCTTTGGCCTACTCTTCCACGCTGGCCAGACATTTTGGAGTGAGTACTGACACTTTAAGAAATATACTGAGGGATATACACACTCTTGTTTTTGCGAACACAAACTAAATATAAAAACATTTCTAGTTACTGGAAGCATTATTTTTACATTTTCTAATGACTTATTTGATTCCTGTAGACAACGCGTATTTTTAACGGAATTTAGATACTCCAATGTACAGGCTGGTCCAGATGTATTGTGACCCCCATTTAATTATCTCTGGGATTAAACTGGGTTCTTTCGGGTCGTGAGTTTATGGGCTCAGACTGGTCCTAATGACCGCGTATAAAGATCATCACAAGACATTTGGTTCTCGCAAAACATCCCAGCTTTGGGAATTTAAAATATCAGTTGGACTGTCATCCAACAACCTCACAGTCTCTCTCATTAAGCAGTCAGTGACGGCTTCGCGTGAATGAATGCTCGTCAACTGCCAGAGATGACATAATGGGTCCTTGTTCGACGCAAAAAATATACACTAAATAATCCATTAGCGTTGTTTTGGACAGGCGTGCCTATATATATGTGAATGTGGCATATTATCTGCTGATCTACTTTGTTAAATAAGCAATACGATTGGCCAGGGAGGTGTGGAAATTGAGGCTGCTGAAACTGGAAGTGAGTCCTGCAGAGCTTCAAGTGATTGAGATCAAAGATCCGAGCCCGGATCATCATCAAACCCGCGCCCGCGAGCTGCAGTTCGAAGCTCCCGTTTGCTTCTAAGGCTGTCACGTGTCGTGATCACGTGTGTGAGCCACTTTCATCGCGCAATTGATGCCAAGCTTCAGGTTGAATTGTGTTTAAGCAGGTGAGAATTATAGAGACCGGGATGGAGTCTGGCGAGCAACGGTGGCATGGGGTCATCAAAGTGGCAAAAACAAACACAATAAAAATGTGGTCAAACAAATAACCGTATTGCAAGAGGAAAAGGGGAATTATTGCAAACATAATTTCGTCCGTAGAGCAAATCGGCTCGGGCTGATTACCTCCAAATTGGTGCCATGCCAAGCACCATCATCGATAACTATATCAACTTAAAGCTGAGCCAATACTGTCCAGCAATCCGTATTTGTATCTGGGTTCGGCCATGAGGTGGTCGTTTTGTCAGAATTCGTGTTATGAATCCTCCCACTACCCGACAAGATTGTCATGTTTACAAATCTATAGTTTTATTGCGTGAAAATTAATCGATCGCATTCTGACCAATGAAGCTTCTTGCCGTTGGCTTTAGGCTTGAAATGTTTGAGTTTAACACCAACGTGCGATGTGTATTTCATTGCACGTTGTCGTATGTATGTTGAACTTCTTTCGCACCGTACGTAGCCAACTCTGCTAATTGGAAGTGCGAAAAAATTCAACATAGTACGTACTCGTACATGGGTGAACCCTGGGTGAGCCACAGTGGGTCTCAGCGGCAGGTTGCGTGTGATGGGGTAAAGTGTGTATAGGTAACTCCCACCTCTTTCAATACGTGGAAGAGTAGGCCAAAAATACCCTCTCTTGAGCTCCCTCGAATAGTTTATAAGAGCTCGCTAATCGCATTTATCACAACAGTCTTTTAAAGGCGACATTGGGATGTTGTCTTTGCATGACAGAGAGAGCGTGTGTGTGTATACTCGTTGAACGTGCCACTATGCATTATGAAATGCTCAAGATCATGATTCGTTTTTGATAAAGCGCCCACGCTCTTCCAGGGCGTCTCAGCGCTGTACATCTCATCTCAGCTCCTTTCAAAGTGCACCCCCAGTGGCAGCTGTCCTTGCGGGGACAATGTGACTCGGCATCTGCACCTCAAGTTTAAGTTTATTTTATTTCCTGGCTATGTTACAAGGAAGATCCGTGGTGCGTGAGCAAAGCAACAACAAAAGACAAACACATCAACATTGTAGAGAACCAGTAAAGGATCATTAAGGAATATTGCACAACTAGCAAACGGGCTATTTAATGGTCGTAAATGAAACACGTGCGAATGAAAAAGTGCAAATGTAAGAGGCGCCAGAAATGGCGAGGCGCAGGTGCAAGCAAGTGCTGCACTTTAGTCTAACAGTGACATGAACACATCGACAAGGCGGTGCAGACACGTGGGGGCAAGTGGTGCCAGGAAGAAATGGCGAGGCGCAGGTGCAAGCAAGTGCTGCACTTTAGTCTAACAGTGACATGAACACATCGACAAGGCGGTGCAGACACGTGGGGGCAAGTGGTGCCAGGAAGAAATGGCGAGGCGCAGGTGCAAGCAAGTGCTGCACTTTAGTCTAACAGTGACATGAACACATCGACAAGGCGGTGCAGACACGTGGGGGCAAGTGGTGCCAGGAAGAAATGGCGAGGCGCAGGTGCAAGCATGCTCTGTGTTGTGGGCAGTCGTCTGCAAGGTAAGGGGCGGTGATTGCTGCTGTGTGTATCACCCAAACTGGTGTAATTTGCGGTGTAATTTGTGCGCATGAATAATGGTGCTTTTTGTTCGAGGCAGACTTTGCGTGATGTTATTACACACTCGTGCCACCATGGGACGTGTTGTTTAGCGAGGTAAGGCCCACTGAGCTAATTCGCCCTTTGTCAGAAACGACCTGGCCACAAACGATGGCCCAACGAAGTGGCTTATCATGTGGAAATGTACAGCAGCCAAATACTCGAAACGCGTGACGTTGATTCTAAATGTGAAGATAAAACCCGGAGGACCCGGAGGAAGATCCACGCGACCACGTGGAGAGAGAGAGAGAGAGGGGGGTGCACACTCCAAGTGTGGAGCAGCAGGCGGCATGACAGACCACGCGCGTCCGCACCGTGAACTTCATCAACACGCAGCCAGCGCTCTGCCCGGTCTGCAGGTTTAGCAGCAAAAGCAAAATCTCGTTGACGTATTTGACTCCTTTAATGAGATGATTCAAAGTCTAAACAGGCGCAGTTAATTGACGGGGCAGTCTTTGATGATGACTCTTGTGTCGAAGTGTTTGTGTTGTCAGCGTGTTGTATCCATGGCTACCGTTGTTCTGTCGTGCCACCTTCTATTGTGTCGTGATGCGTCACGTGCTCGTGACGTCGTGTTGGGCCACGTCGCATTCAGTCTTCTCGTGTCGTCATGGCTGTTGTCCCACATTGTCATCTTTGGTCGTGTCACATCTCATGGTGTCATTGTCCTGTTCTAACGGGATGAGTTCTCAATCTCGATGACGATGTAAAAGCGCATCGCTCCAGCGGCTCCTAAATAGGGTTGTGGTGTCACGTGGTGTTGTCGTGTTGTGTCACACCGTGTCGTGTTGTGTGTTCCCACGTGGTGTCTTCTCGCCGTGTTGCGAGCTTGTGTCCTGTCGTGCCGTCGCCTAGGCGATTGTTTTCTGTGTGGAGGTGGTGGTGGTGGAGGGGGGCTCAGCACGAGAACACTGCCGCTGGTGAGGTGGGGGGCGGGGGGGCTTTATCGGTGGCGGAGACGACGGCGCTGAGCTGAATCTTAATGCCTGCGGTGACGGAGCGCGTGGCGAGGAGGGAGAGAGAGAGAGGCAATCTCATGGTCACTACACGGGCGTACGGGGAGGGGGGGAAGAGAGAGATCGATAGGGGGGGGGGCAGGGGGAGCGTGAGATAGACGGGCGGGGGGACAAAGAGAGAGACGAGGAGAGCATCGGGAGAGGAGAGTGGGAGAGAGACAGGGGAGAGAGACAGGCAGCAGGGGGATAAAGCGAGAGACGGTGGGGGGAGAGTGGGCGAGAGATGGAGAGGCAGAGAGAGGGGGGGGCAGAGAGAGGGGGGGATGGAATGCGGAGAGAGATGGGGACGCAGAGAGGGGGGGGGGGCAGAGGGAGGGGGGCAGAGAGAGGGGGGGATGGGATGCGGAGAGAGATGGGAAGGCAATGAGAGAGGGTGGAGCGGATGGAGATTGGCGCTTACTGTCATTTACATGTACAGTGCAATTGATGTACTGCATCACAGCAGAGCACGTCTGAACACAGGCGACTCCAGATCAACCACAGCAGCGCATATCACCACCATTATCGTGCTCTATCAACTGCTGGATGAATGCCTCCCCAAGCCGTCGCCATGTCTCATGGTCCCACGACGCAGCAATGCAGCGAGCTGCTGGCCAGGAGCTGATTTCAACAATTAAAAGTTAAATGAGCTAAATGTTATTTGACCAGGTAAATGCCACTAAGCGATATACAGTAGCTCATTTTCAGAGGTGACCTGTCCACAGATGATAGAGGCATGCACTGTCATTGCAATCACATCTCAAGAGAGGGCAACTTTCATTTCGCGACGTGTCCTGCCCAAGCCAACTTTACTTTTAATAACAATCAACGCGAAGTCTCTAACTTGGAATATTTATGGAGTGCATCCAATACAACGCATAAGTGTGCGACATGTGTGAACCGCTCTCTTGATGGATTGTGGGTAATATAGTACAGCACATGTTCCTTGGTTCTTTCGGTAAAGTCACGTAGAAAAAAAATATAAAAAACAAAAAACTCACTAATGTAGACTGCAGCCTGGTTCTTAATCGGAGTGAGCATACTGGCAGTCTATAAAAAAAACCCACGACGTTTCGATCACAACACCAGCGATCGTCTTCAGGAGGAAGGAGGGGGACGGTCACCGAAGGCCGCCGCTTTTGAAGGTTTCAAAAGTGGGCGTGGCACAAGCGCCCCGGCGGCCCAACCAAGTGAACATTCAATTCAGTTCGGTCATACAGTGAAATTAGACCAAAGTGTATTTCACTACCGAAATGCATTCTGCAAGCACGTAGGTTAGCCGGTGAGCCAAGCAGACCAACGTCCGATTGAATTTGTTTACACGAACTGCTTTTGACTTCTACGAGTCTCATAAATCAATTGGGAAGAGAAAGAGAATGTATGGCCGTGGGCATGTGTTAGAGGGAACGCGCTGAAGGGAGTGGATCGAGGGGGACTCTTTAGGTGAAGACCCAGAGAGGAAGGGAGTGAAACAAGTAAACCCGTAAAAACAAAGTTTTTCACTCTAAATCCTTTATATGCGTGGCGGCTAGAGTCCTCTCGTCCTCTGGCTTGAGATGGCTGCCACCTATGGGTCAGATGATTGTCTGCAGTATTAAACAATTGGTAATTAAATATTAAATTTGTTTTCCCTAAACAGTGTAAAATTTAGGAATTTTTTTTCATGAACATTAATTGTCTCGCACAACGAGTCTGTGTGCAAAATGTCAGCTCGATTGGATCACGGGAAGTGGGTTAAAAAACGACTGAAAGGTTTGCACGGTCGTAAGCAAGCAAGCACGCAAGCACGCAAGCGAACTTAATATAAAGGATTTAAGAACGGCGACGCACGGCCATGTTCAACAGGATGGACGTCAGGACGGGTGAAGGGGCACCGGAAGACAGAGCAATGCAGAGGACAAAATCGTGCCTCGGTGGCTAGATGTTAACTACCTCGCCTGGTATACAGGAGGTCGTGGGTTCGATCCCGACCCTGACGCCTGCTGCTGTATATTTGGAGTTTGCGTGTCTCTCTCTCTCCCCGTGGTCGTGTGGATTTTTCTGCGGGTCCTCCGGTTTTTCCCTCCACCTTTAAAAGCAACATGTATTTTAGAGTATTTGGCTAAAATAAATTTGCACGTGATAAGCCACTTCATTGAGCTATCATTTGTGGCCAGGTCGTTTCTGAAAAAAATACAGCTATATAGCTCAGTGGGCCTTACCTGTGAAATTAAAAAAATACATCGTTTTAAGTTTATGTATGTTGAACTTCTTTCGCACCGTACGTAGCCAACCGTGCTAATCGGAGGTGCAATCATCAGCACAGTGTGGCCCATTAAACGATCGGTGCTGGGGTTTGCCTGGTGTGGCAGACCAGAGAGCGCGTTCCACAAGAACGAGTGACTGTGTGTGAAGACTTGAGGGGGTGAGGGACCTCAGGGGGATTTCAGATATCTGGGAAATTCAGGGCCACAGGCGAATTTCAGATATCTTTGGCGGGAGGTGCACGAACACACACATGATGACAGCCCGGCATGCGCATTGGTGAACCAACGAAATGCTATCCTGACTCAAATCTCCGATAAGCACGGTTGGCTACAAAGGTGCTCAGCTTTTATGTTTAGCCTATGATCAAATTGCCGAGCCTGTGCCAAATGTCACCCCAAGCATCACACCTGAAACATTTAAAACGTTTACTCATTAACAGTTTTTTTTACATACGTTAATCACCATCATCGCAATCATTGCTGTTAGAGTGATAAACGAATACGGGTTGAAACAGCGATATTCAGAGCGAATTCGCAATCTGTGTGAGTACCTCGGGGAGAGAGAGCGAGGGAGGGAGGGGAGAAAGTGGGGCAAGGAGAGAGATTGATGATGGTGCACAAGATGAATTGATACAGACCCCTGAGTGTGCATGGCTGTACGCTCACAGTCATCTCCGTGGTTTTTAATGTCTCTGTTTTATCGTTTGAAATGCAGTAAACGGATTTCCCCTACAACATTAAAAAGTCGTTTTGTCGAATAATATTTCAACAAGAATCAAAGTCAAAATGCCTCCAAACGCCATCATCTGCCGTGATCAATCCACTGATGGATGAAGCGCCCCACCGCGTCGCCATCCCTTACAATCCCGCGGTGCAACAATCCACCCAGCAGCAGCAGCCTGCACAAGAGCTGACGACGACGACGACGACATGCAGCAAAAAGCGCCCCCAGCATGGGAGACCTTCTACTGCAGAATAAGCACCACTGGGTCGAACGTACTCTGACGAACGCTTGTGCGTTTCCTTTACGACCCGTTAAATACCTCCTTCGTTGTGCGATATCTCTTAAGGATCGTGCACGCGTTCTCTGCAGTATTGATGGTTTGTGTTGCTGATGCTGCTGTGCTCACGCACCACGGGTCTCCCTTGTGACATAGCCGGGCAAAATGGCTCAACGAGATCATCCGTGTCACAAATCAAACTCACTGGGATGGAAATGGTGCGCTCAGTTTCTATCAACCCATATGTGTACAGTATTACATAAATAGTCCATATGGACTCAGCTGAAAATTACCTTTAATGTACAGGGTTATCCATGAAGTCTTGTGACCCACATTAAATTTACCCCGAACATTTTTTTCTTTGCATATTCATCTCTGTTTTAAATCACCTTTACTTAAGACATATATTACATGTATTATAATTGTTATATCTACGTGGCTTTACCCAAAGACCCATAGAATATATATACAGTATCACATTCTTGATTTGAAAATATTACGTATTAGAGGATAAAATGGGGGGTCACAAGGCATCTGGACCACCCTGTACAACTAATGTGTAATAGCTCATGGGCAAGCCATGCGGAATTCACTCAGCCTCATTGGAGCTCACAAGCTCAGCAGATTTGAGCCTGGATGGTGCGATTTGTTGGATGCCGCAGGGTCGACGGTGTCGGCAGTAGAGGTCAGTGCAGTGACATTCAGCGCAATGTGCTGGCGACGTGCAGCTGCTCGTCAGTGGAAGCGCGCTGTGTGAAGCGCGCTGTGTGAAGCGTGCTGTGTGAAGCGTGCTGTGGAAGCGTGCTGTGTGAAGCGCGCTGTGTGAAGCGTGCTGTGTGAAGCGTGCTGTGGAAGCGCGCTGTGTGAAGCGCGCTGTGTGAAGCGTGCTGTGGAAGCGCGCTGTGTGAAGCGCGCTGTGTGAAGCGTGCTGTGGAAGCGTGCTGTGTGAAGCGCGCTGTGTGAAGCGCGCTGTGTGAAGCGTGCTGTGGAAGCGCGCTGTGTGAAGCGCGCTGTGTGAAGCGTGCTGTGTAAGCGTGCTGTGGAAGCGCGCTGTGTGAAGCGCGCTGTGTGAAGCGTGCTGTGGAAGCGCGCTGTGTGAAGCGTGCTGTGTGAAGCGTGCTGTGGAAGCGCGCTGTGTGAAGCGCGCTGTGTGAAGCGTGCTGTGTGAAGCGCGCTGTGTGAAGCGCGCTGTGTGAAGCGTGCTGTGGAAGCGCGCTGTGTGAAGCGTGCTGTGTGAAGCGTGCTGTGTGAAGCGCGCTGTGTGAAGCGCGCTGTGTGAAGCGTGCTGTGGAAGCGCGCTGTGTGAAGCGCGCTGTGTGAAGCGCGCTGTGTGAAGCGCGCTGTGTGAAGCGTGCTGTGGAAGCGCGCTGTGTGAAGCGTGCTGTGTGAAGCGTGCTGTGGAAGCGCGCTGTGTGAAGCGCGCTGTGTGAAGCGCGCTGTGTGAAGCGCGCTGTGTGAAGCGTGCTGTGGAAGCGCGCTGTGTGAAGCGCGCTGTGTGAAGCGTGCTGTGGAAGCGTGCTGTGTGAAGCGCGCTGTGTGAAGCGCGCTGTGTGAAGCGCGCTGTGGAAGCGCGCTGTGTGAAGCGTGCTGTGGAAGCGCGCTGTGTGAAGCGCGCTGTGTGAAGCGTGCTGTGGAAGCGTGCTGTGTGAAGCGCGCTGTGTGAAGCGCGCTGTGTGAAGCGTGCTGTGGAAGCGCGCTGTGTGAAGCGCGCTGTGTGAAGCGTGCTGTGGAAGCGTGCTGTGTGAAGCGCGCTGTGTGAAGCGCGCTGTGTGAAGCGTGCTGTGGAAGCGCGCTGTGTGAAGCGCGCTGTGTGAAGCGTGCTGTGGAAGCGCGCTGTGTGAAGCGCGCTGTGTGAAGCGTGCTGTGGAAGCGTGCTGTGTGAAGCGCGCTGTGTGAAGCGCGCTGTGTGAAGCGCGCTGTGTGAAGCGCGCTGTGGAAGCGCGCTGTGTGAAGCGTGCTGTGGAAGCGCGCTGTGTGAAGCGCGCTGTGTGAAGCGCGCTGTGTGAAGCGCGCTGTGTGAAGCGCGCTGTGTGAAGCGCGCTGTGTGAAGCGCGCTGTGTGAAGCGTGCTGTGTGAAGCGCGCTGTGTGAAGCGCGCTGTGTGAAGCGCGTTGTGTGAAGCGCGCTGTGTGAAGCGCGCTGTGTGAAGCGTGCTGTGGAAGCGTGCTGTGTGAAGCGCGCTGTGTGAAGCGCGCTGTGGAAGCGCGCTGTGTGAAGCGTGCTGTGGAAGCGCGCTGTGTGAAGCGCGCTGTGGAAGCGCGCTGTGTGAAGCGCGCTGTGTGAAGCGCGCTGTGTGAAGCGCGCTGTGTGAAGCGCGCTGTGTGAAGCGCGCTGTGTGAAGCGCGCTGTGTGAAGCGCGCTGTGTGAAGCGCGCTGTGTGAAGCGCGCTGTGTGAAGCGTGCTGTGGAAGCGTGCTGTGTGAAGCGCGCTGTGTGAAGCGCGCTGTGTGAAGCGCGCTGTGTGAAGCACGCTGTGGAAGCGCGCTGTGTGAAGCGTGCTGTGGAAGCGCGCTGTGTGAAGCGCGCTGTGGAAGCGCGCTGTGTGAAGCGCGCTGTGTGAAGCGCGCTGTGTGAAGCGCGCTGTGTGAAGCGTGCTGTGGAAGCGCGCTGTGTGAAGCGCGCTGTGTGAAGCGCGCTGTGTGAAGCGCGCTGTGGAAGCGCGCTGTGTGAAGCGCGCTGTGTGAAGCGCGCTGTGTGAAGCGCGCTGTGTGAAGCGCGCTGTGGAAGCGCGCTGTGTGAAGCGCGCTGTGTGAAGCGTGCTCGCCCGTAGACGCACACGCTGTAGTAAGGGGGGTGCAATTGCGTTACCGAAACAAATGAAGGAAAACGTCATCTATTTTAGGCCTGAATTTACAAAATACGAATATATAACTTCATAATACTGTTACTAACATAACAACTTACTTAACAAGGAATTTAAAAACAAATAACAATAATGAAGATGAAAGTGATGACTGCTGAACAAGGAACGACTTCAGCGCTTCTTAAATGCGTCGACTCAGGTCTGCGGTGGCTCAGCCCGTGACGCCATCAGAACTCAGTCGCCTTACCTGCCACAGATATTTGTTCTACTTAAAATTTTGATCACCGGACAAACATTTTTATTTTGAAACTTTTAATTTACCTTTTTTTCTCTCGAGCGCGCAACTGTGAAGCGCATGGCGTGTGAAGCTCGTCCCTAAAAGGTGATCCGCGTAACCGCGAAATCGCGCTATGGGGGCGCGTTACGCGAGGAACGCCTCTGTACTCTGTCGTATTTCTCTGTCGCCACGTATTTGCTTCCTTTTACCTTCACCGACCCAGCGTGAAGTGGTGGTTAAATAAGTCCCGTGACCCGCACGCCACGGGACTGACTTCATTCAGCGGTGGATTGACAACGGACCTGTCTGTAGACGCCCCTCTTCACACCCTTCTCAACGGGTGATTGCATTTTGTGAAAGCGACGGCTGCCAATCTTACAAGGGGAGATTGTTAAAATGTGTAAAACGTCTATTTAGACACGCTTCCAGAAATCATGCCAACGCTGGCCCAACGTACCATGTTTACGAGGCACAGGCTTTGAAATGAAATGTTGTATCTGTGATGCATTCCTCTGTGAATGGAGTATTTATAAACGGATCACAACGTATAATACACCCCATGTTTCTAGCTCTTGAGCCATTGGTTGAAATTCTACATTTCTATGACGGGGACGAGTTTACCAAGAGAATAACCACTGTTGACCTCCCCACACTGAGCATGTTTACTGAGACACGTGACGCGTCTCAGTAAACATGCCAACGTCGGCCAACAACGTTCCATGTTTACTGAGTAGAGGCTTTAAAATGAAATGTGATTTTGCAATCTACCCAATGTATTTATCTGGTAGGCGGCGCGTCAATTGACCGTGACCGTCCGTCTGTCCCTCCTTCTGGACGCCACGTCTTGCTCGCCAACCAGACAGCAACACTTGCTTCTAATGTTGTTTATAATATCACTGCATATAGATTATCTGCCGCTGTAAATGTCCACGTAGGCCACTTTGTTGAGCTATTTGTGGCCAGGTCGTTTCTGAAAAATAACGGAATTCCTCAGTGGGCTTTACCTTGTTAAATAAAACAGTTTAATCTTGATTTGAAGCGTTCGTGACTGCAGGAATCCACGGTCTTTGGTTGTTTCGGTAAAGTCACGTGGGTAGAAAATAAAATAAATCACGTTTCGATCGCAACACAAGCGTCCATCATCAGGTGGGACAACCACAGCAAGTAGACACTGCTGAAGTAGGCGAGAGAGCTGCCGTGGCACGAGGTTATATAGTAGTGTGTAGTGTAGTGTATAGTAGTGTATAGTGTAGTGTATAGTGTAGTGTATATAGTAGTGTATAAGGCATTCCAACGGTTTTAAGGTATTTTGGGGTGCTGATTCCAAATCCGGCATCAGTTTTTGTCATCAGGTTTTTGAGATATCAAATATTGCATTTTCAATAAAAACTGCAGAAGAAAAATATTAAATGTGGATATCTACATAAAATGATATTATAAACACACTATCCTAAAAATACAGCACCATATTTTAACACTAAAGCAGTCACTGACTCGCAACAACTTGCAATCATAAGTGACAGAGTTAATTTCGGGTAAAATCAATTAAAATGGGGTATGCCGATAGCATACTAATGATATGTGATAGAGCAAATCTGGGATCAGATTTGGAATCAGCACCCTGAAATGAGTCTAAAACAGCTGCAAAATTCCAGGCCAGAATTTTTGTTGTTGTTGACCAGTGTTATTTTATTTTATACCTACGTGACTTACCGAAAGAACCAAAGAGTATAAAAAAGTTTAGTTTACAATGTATAGTTTTTGAAAGTGATGTTTACCTTTCCTATACTTTGCACTCATATCGTGTTTTTATATTATTGTTGTTGTAACGTTCTGATCCCGTGCTGGACATCTGTGAAAAAGAGCCTCACAGCTCATCGGATTCCTCCTGCAGGAAAGTGAACATCGCGGTTGTGTGTTGGCTCTGGCCGTGGCCGTGGCTGCGTTAGGCCGCCATGTCACCACCGTGGCTGCCGCTGCTGCTGCTGTTGTGCGGCCTAGCCCCCGGCATCGAGCCTGCCTCTACTGGATCGCCCGCAGGAGCAGGCGGCTGCATGGCGGGCTCCAAGAGCAAGCCGAGGCCCGGGCCTGAGCCGGGCCTGCACGCCTGTAGCCAGTACAACCAGAGTGAGTGTCGCCTTCCACGCCCATCGTTGTCGTCGGCCTGTACAACTCTTCCCATTGCTGGGAAAATGACCCTCAAATTCCTTAATTTCCTTACAAGGGATTTAGTTGCACCTCTCCGGGCGCGATGTCCGTCCTTTCCTCTTCTCTCGGTCTCCCACGCGGCTGTTAATTCTGTCTCTGGCCAGTTCTCGGGACGCGACCTGCCCACCCATGTCCACTTGATTTCCCTTCGCTTTCACGACAGCATCGTCGGTGATTCGTGCGACTTTTTTGTTGCTGAAGCAACCACATTGCCAGCAGGGCTCAACGAGGCCACGGGGTGGCGATGTAGCCACGCCCACAACCCGCCCACTCCACTCTGGCCCCGCCCACTCCACACTGGCCCCGCCCACTCCACTCTGGCCCCGCCCACTCCAATATGGCCCCGCCCACTCTACTTTGGCCCCGCCCTGTGCCCAGGTTGCCCCGCCCACTCTACTCAGGACTGTCCCCAATGATGAGTCCGATCCGAGTATGAAGACTGATTTTTTAAAAAGTAAACCTGGACGAAATTCCGAATTTCACAAAAGCTTCGGGACACAAACTAATTTCCTATTCATCGTTCATCACACCACCTCACCTCCACTCACAATGCTTGTCCTCCCATCACCTTGCATCAACATCGCATTCTCCCATCTCCCGTCATCGGTTCTCACTTTACAACGTTTCCCATCATCCCATCAACCTCCTTCTCTTTCTATCACCCCTCTTATTTATCTCCCCTCATCTCCCTCCCATTATTGTCCCATCACTTTCCTTCCTTTCACCCAACTTCAATCATCTCCCTTCACTTACCTGCCTCCACTTACATACCTTCTCTTCACCACTGCCCATCTCCACCCTTCATCTCTCCCCCTACCCCGCCCATCTCCTTCCTTAATCTTTCTTCACCTCTGATGCCACCCTTCCCATCACCATTATCTCTGCCATCCCTTCACCACTCATCATCTTCCATCACCTACTATCCCCTCCCCACCTGCTCTCTTCACATCTCCTCTCTTCCACCCCCCATTACACATACCGCCCCTGCCCCCCCCACGCTCCGTACTTGACCTCTCGCCACCTGCGCTCACCGCAGACGCGTGCTGCACGCCGGAGTCGGTGCGGCAGCTCTCCCGGTCCCCCGTGGTGCGTGTGGACGAGCTGCTGTGGGACCGCTGCGGGAACCTCACCCCCAGGTGCCTCGCCGCCGCTCGCGGGACCGGCGTGCACCTACGATTAGCGCGTTTGGCTGCGTGCGGTGCGAAGGAGGTTCAACCCGCGCCGTAGGGACCGCACCGCCGTGGCTCCACGGGGCCTGAGAGGGTGGCCGACTTCGCTTCACGGGGCCCGCGACTTCGTCTCAAAAGACCCACGACAGAAATTCACGCGACCTGCGAAAAATGTCGTACAAAGTGCATTTCGCAAAACTCAAGTCGCACGATCCACGACTTCATTTTGCAGGACGTTGTTTTGTAGGGCCCGCAACTTCGTTTCATGCACTCTGCAGGCCGGATACGGTCCACAAGTCGATTTAATGTGGACCTCAGGCACGTGAGGCCACAGCTTTGAAACGGAACACAAACGTCATCAACCCAATCGGCACCAGTTTCACCGCATTCTTATTTTGTGAGGAATTAAAGGAAGCGCGAAATCCAATCTGCTGTTACTGCCACTTTAGACTTTGTTGAGATTTCACGAATTCCGTGACCACCATCACACGACCTCCGCAACCTTTATTATGACACGTTGTCCGCGGTACGATGAATACGATGAATGTGACAGTGATGATCGTTGTTGAGGTGGTTGCTGCTGCTGCTGCCGCTGCCGCTGCGACTGTTGCCGCTGCTGCCGCTGCTGCCGCTGCTGCCGCTGCTGCCGCTGCTGCCGCTGCTGCCGCTGCTGCCGCTGCTGCCGCTGATGCCCTTGCTCCGTGTAACCGTGGTGGCATCTCGGCCCTGCGCAGCTGCGAGTCGTTCCTCAAGCGGCTCGAGTGCTACTCCCGCTGCTCACCACTCGCGTCGCGCTGGGCTCACCGCGCTCACCCCAGCCTCCTCCACCACGTGCCCGTGTGCTCACACTTCTGCGACTCCTGGTAAGCGGGGGAGGGGGGTGCTGCAGTGGCTAGGAGATGTTATCTCCCTCGCCTGGTATGCAGGAGGTCGTGGGTTCGATCCCGAATCTGACGGCTGTTTATTTGGAGTTTGCATGTTATCCCCGTGGTCGTGTGGATTTCTCTGCGGGTCCTCCGGTTTTTCCCTCCACATTTAAAATCAACGTGTATTTTAGAGTATTTGGCTGCTTTACATTTCCACGTGATAAGCCACTTCATTGAGCTCTCATTTGTGTGTGCCAGGTCGCTTCTGAAAAAGAGCTAGATAGCTCAGTGGCCCTTACCTGGTGAAAAAAAATTAGTTTGGGTTCGTAAGAAACACAGCGGCCGTTCTTATTTTATATATAGAGTGCCTTCGCTCAATGCGTTTAACATAATTTAAAATACGGTAACAGATTATAATTATCTGGATGGCAGGGGCGTCTTGTAAGGGCTGAGGAATGAGTGGCCGAGATAGAGGGGTACTTAGGGGTAACGAAAGGGTAGGGGAGTGACGGGAAGGAGTGGAGGGGTGAGGGGAGGGAAGAGGATGGGCAATAGAGAAGAGGTGAGGCTATAAAAGAGATAAAAACAACAAGCCCAGAGTTTTTGCTTGTTATTGTATCAATGCTGCTGAAATAATGCACTCCCTGAAGGCCGTTTGGCTGGTGGATTGTTAGAAATGCTTTTTTGACGTGTTTACCAGTTGTTTCGCGTGATGTTCAGCGCCACGGTGGTGAGATGTTAAATACCTCGCCTGGTAGACAGCAGGTCGTGGGTTCGAACCCGACCCTAATGCCTGCTGCTGCTGTATATTTGGAGTTTGCATGTTCTCCCTGTGGTCGCCTGGATTTTTCTCCAGGCCCTTCAAATTTTCCCACCACATTTAGAAACGTGTGTTGAGAGTATTTGGCTGCTAATTCATTTCCACGTGATACGCCACTTTGTTGAGCGATCATTTGTGACCAGGTGGCTTATGAATAATAGATACACAGTTAAGTGGGCCTTAACTGGTAAAATAAAAATAGCTATAAAACAGTTTGTGTGCGTGTCTGCAGGTTCGATGCTTGCCGCGAGGACTTCACGTGCGTGCGCAACTGGATCTATGACTGGGACTGGAGCGTCGAAGGGAACTTCTGTCCCGGAGCCTGCGTGCCTTTTTCTCAGGTAGATTTCATCTCCGTGGTATCCCACCTTTAGGGCGCCAATGTGGTGCCTCGCAGCAACAAGACACCTGAGTTTGATTAGAAACTCAGGCCCCTTTCTGTGTGTGTGGAGTTTGTATGTTCTCCTCCTGCTCTACATGGGTTTCCTCTCGGTTCTCTGGCTCCCTCCTATAGCGAATAAAAACCCCAAACAATGAAATCGGTACTGGCCAAACATCCGAATGCTGAAAAATTACCTGAAAATTACTCAATTGGGATTACACACAGCAGCAGCAATATTGCCTCGACTGTGAAAACTTGGCAGGTCCCTCCTGCAAAATTATCTTGAGACTCAGGCTTTCCTGAGTAAACAACAATATTTTTAAAATGTGATCTTTACAAATATTGTCATGCATTTACCATTCAATAATACTTTAGAAAAAAAACCTTGACGCTTAAGGCTGCGTGGCCCACACGGGCAATCTGACAGGAGTTGGAAACTATGTTGAGACAAATAAATTGCAGTTTTTTCATCTCTTCTCCAATACTTTCCCGACTGCGCTATCCGTGTCATGAGACGTCACCCTGTGTTAAAGAACGGTCTGTGTTGGGGCCATGGGTTCATCTCCTATTTTTCTATCCCCTGCTTTTCATAACCGGTTTAGTTTATATGAACGGTGCGTACGTGCATCATCGTTCTATGTATCGGGCTCGCGCATTGCCTCAATAACAAAGTTAAATAAACGGCCCGCGGAAGTGGATATCGAACAAATACTGTTAAGATGACTCAGCACCAGTGATCTCTGGTTTCCACTCGGTGAGAGTCATTAATGTTTGTCGCGTGACGGTCAAATCAATGTTTACATTTTCAGAGCTGGAATTTTGCCAAATTTAAGTGCAGAACCAAATTCAACGCGATGGGCCATCAACTCACTACGCTTGAGAAGCCGGTTTAATCGTAGGCAGCTGAAACCTGAAATCAAACCCAGGATCTCAGCGGTGCTGGCTTAGCGTTCAGACCTCTGAGCCATCCACCTGGCGTCCTCTATTCGGTTCGAGATGGAGCAACAAAATCCGCTGAGTGCGGATTGCTGCCTCGCAGAACTGTGACAGCTTGGGGGAAGCCATCATCGTCCAGTCGTTGATAGATCACGGCTGATGATACCGATGACGATGGCAATGACAGCCGTGTTTGCGCGTTCTGTTCGTTTGTGCATGCGCGTAGATGTTCCGGGACGGACGCGATTTGTGTGAGGGTTTCTGGGGCCTCGCCCTCCTCCCCGTAGCCCACGGAGTGGAGCCGTGCATCTCTCCGGGCGACCGAGAGGGCGACATCACCGCCACCGCCACTATGGGGACGTCGACGGTCGTGGAACCCGCAGCCCCTCCGACGAGGGGCAACGCTGCGAACCGCGATGTCGCACGCCGCGCCAAGCGCGCACTCTTCCAGGAAGAGGTGGAAGGCAGCGGCAGCGGCTTCTGAGAGAGCCGAACTCCCCAGGGGGGAAATCCAGAAACTCTCCGATGAGTTTTTTTTTGTTTCCGGGTGACACCGTGAATTGTTCAGCATGATGTCCGACGGTTCGCCCTGCGTGCTGGGAGCTTTTTGAGGAATTGAACTGAGTGGCTCACTTTTGCTTGAGATTATATAACGTTGCTGGCTGTCGCTGGTATTGCCAGTACTGGATGATGATTGGGCTAGAAATGGCAAAGCCTGCAGCAGCCGGCAATGCTAAACAATCGAGAGAGGGAAAATGAGCTGCTCAGTGTAGTTCTTGAAAAAGGTCTCAGCACACGGTACTAAACGTCAGTCGTGCCGCACACGCGGCACAACTCGAAAAACACATCGGAGAGCTGAACAGCACCACCGTGAAAACCTAGACGGTTGTGGAAAATCTGTGGGCAGATGCACACAAATCCTTAAGTAAAGTTTTCCCTAGGTTCTCACTGATTTGAATTGCCAACTAATAGTTCAATATTACTTAAGATATTTAATTAAAATGACCACTGGAAACACGTGTGCAGAACTGGGGAACTTTTTACGAATAGGGCTTTTAAATTAACCCTTGGTGGGCAATCACATTAGCACCTTCGCGTTTTCTGATAGCACTGCAAAGAAGTGAATGAGGCTCAGCTCACCTTTAACTCGCACTGATGCAATGCCATGCCTGCTGCCCTCTCGCCAACACGTTGACCTTCACATCTCCCTCTCGTAGCCGATTAGTAACGCGTCGCATGATCGTGAGAGATGATAATTGGTGGCGGATTGGACAGGCCTTCATGCAACAGTGGATTCACCATGTGATGATGGTGACCCGATTAATGTGAGCGGAGCGTTTAGCGCGCTGCGCTACAAGCCCAGCGACCCAAGTTTGATTTACGCTCACGGCCAATGACGATTATCTGAATCGGTTCTTGGTCTCCCCTAGGTCGACTCAGCCTGAGGACTTGGTACGGTGTCTAAAGATCGCTACTAGGAAGATAAGCGTCCAGGCGTTGTGCTGGCCACCCACCCCCTCGCGTATCGTGCCGGCCTTCATAGGTGCTACTTGCTAACAGCACTTGTCCCAACAGTCTGTTAAGGCTACACGGGGGATCTTTGTGGCTGAGATGCTTGAAGTGATGGATTTTGTTTTGTAGGTTTTTTCGAAGGGGGTGAGGCCTCACGTGATCCTGGGCTGAATGAAATGGCGTTGTGGGCCATATGAAATGCGGTTATGGGCCGTGTCTAGCCAATGGGCTATGTTTCTCTCCCTGCACTCAAAGCCGCAGATCATCAAACTGGGTCTCCCAGGAGGCAGTTTCCAGAAACGGATTCTAAAACACAATCTCAAGTACCTCTTTTTCAGAGTCTCGATCTGCTCTGAATAAGGGCCATTACCCGAAACGTCACCTATTATATACGTTTTTTTTAAGGCAGTGTTATTCGTTACAATTGCCAAATCTCTGTGGTTTGTCAGTAAGGGGGAGGGGGGGGGTACACGGTCAGTACAATCTCAATTGAGAAACTGTAACGGTGATTTTTCACATTTGGCAAATTTGGCCCATTACGCCGACTTCACGGGATATTGAGCGTCTGCTGTGAAGCAGACAGATTGTCAAGATGCTCACCCTGAATTCAAGCACCGCAATCCACCACTGAGTCACCGTCATATCAAGACCCCAGTCCTGAGACGCAGTCTCTTGTAGACTGCTTCTCACGAAAAGTCTAAAACACAGTCTCGTTATCTCCTGGAGTTGCGCCCTCCTGTGTCTCAACACCCCAATCCTGAGACCCAGAGCTCATCGAATCAAGTCTCAAGCCAGATCTTTCAACCTGGATGCTGAAGTCCGGCCTCTTGGAGTCGAGTATGAAACCCACTGATTCAGAAACAGTGACCTCCAGTTGCCATAATCTGATGATGTTTAATGGAAAGCTTTGTATCAGCTTAATAGTCCTTATGCACATGAGCTTGCAATATACCAGCATTACAATAAAACAGGTATCGCTCAATTTACGACAGGGATGCGTTTTTCAAAAAACAAGCGGAAAACGAAATTTCGTAAATCGGAAATTGATTTTCCACGAATTGAATACGAACATTTTATTCCAACTCTATGCCTCACCTAAATATATACACCTATAACATTTTTCACAAGAGAAAATAATGATAAAGAACAGAAATTATGAAACGATTGAATAATTTTAATAAAAATAATGAACCTTTTGAGGCAACTCTCCTGCATGTTGGCATGACTGACACGGTGGCGGCGTTGGCGCTGCACTGCATGGACACCGTGACGCTGTCGAGGATGGATGAGGTCGCCTCCCCGCTGCTTCTTGCCCAATGATCTCGCGGTGCGTGCCGAAGTGAAATTTCATTAACGAGGAAATTCGATTTCAATAATCCAAAAGTGTCCATAATTTGTCAATTGCATTCACGCGAAATTAGGTAAACCGAACGTTGATGAATCGAGGGATACCTGTGCGCTCCTATGGATACAGCAGAAAGCCAAGCGAGCTCATCCACGTGTGTGTTCACTCACAACGACGTTTCTTTGCCGTGCATAACTCTAACATACACCTCCCACGTTTATTTAGAACATCAATTATATCACAATTTAGGTACAAGACTGGCACAATTGTGTCTGGTCCGCAAGGCTTTGCTAAAGACCACCGCGTCTTCAGAGAATTGTGCTAGTGCTGCGTCTCTGATGATAATTATTATTTTAAAAACAATTACGTCTGAAGCGTCATTGAGAAATGCAAGCGGCTCTTGGACAGGACGCGAGGAGGGACGACGGACAACGGTCAGGAATAATAACGGAGCAGCAGCCGAGCAATGGAAAGTGTCCAGGAGGACGCCACTGGGGAGATAGAGCGACGAAATCTGTTCACGTGCCATGGGATTGCTGCATCAGGTGGGATGGTGAGAGGCGGTGGTGGCGGTCTAGGCAGGCCTTCATCCAACAGTGGAACCATCGTAGCTGACCATGACGACAATGATGATGATGGTGGTCATGATGATGATGGCATAAAGGAGCAGGGTCTGGATGAAATGATCCCAGGTGGAGTTGTGCGGTACCATCTGCTAGGCCGCCGTTCTCCGACGTGATGGAATTTTCTTCAAACGGGGCGCAATGTTTCATCTCGTGATACGACACCGATGATGACGCAATTGGGATATAATAATTGTTCCATCAGTTTTCGTGAAAAATGTATTTCAAAACTACTCGTACACAATTGACTATGCATAAATGGTCTTGACGATGTCTTTATATTAAATTGAATGCTTTTACAGATGCAGATTAATATATCACTCGAACCATCCTTTCTATTAAGGCTGCTTTACATTGCAATTAAAGACATGCCAATCTCTGACTGCCGGGTGTGCTGTGTAAGATTTATTTCTCGACTCGTGGCTCTGCCGAGCTATCTCTGTGTTCACGTTTGTGGCGTGGTGCTCTCCCGATCCACGGCGACGCGGTCGCGCGGCGGAATTTTGACTTTTTTTTTTAAGTTGAAAACTCGATCCATCTCTCAAGGCTCCTCCTGCCTGCAGCAAAGGTCGCTGCCCTCACGGGGTTCACACGTCCCTGCGTGCGCTCGGATCCACAGACGCCAAAGACTCTCAGTGTTGAGGCTGGGGGTCAGTGTTGAGGTTGGAGGTCAGTGTTGAGGCTTGGGGTCAGCGTTGAGGCTGTGGGTCAGTGTTGAGGCTGGGGGTCAGTGTTGAGGCTGGGGGTCAGTGTTGAGGCTGTGAGTCAGTGTTGAGGCTATGGGTCAGTGTTGAGGCTGTGGGTCAGTGTTGAGGCTGTGGGTCAGTGTTGAGGCTGTGGGTCAGTGTTGAGGCTATGGGTCAGTGTTGAGGCTGTGGGTCAGTGTTGAGGCTGTGGGTCAGTGTTGAGGCTATGGGTCAGTGTTGAGGCTGTGGGTCAGTGTTGAGGCTGTGGGTCAGTGTTGAGGCTATGGGTCAGTGTTGAGGCTGTGGGTCAGTGTTGAGGCTGTGGGTCAGTGTTGAGGCTGTGGGTCAGTGTTGAGGCTGTGGGTCAGTGTTGAGGCTATGGGTCAGTGTTGAGGCTGTGGGTCAGTGTTGAGGCTGTGAGTCAGTGTTGAGGCTATGGGTCAGTGTTGAGGCTGTGGGTCAGTGTTGAGGCTGTGGGTCAGTGTTGAGGCTGGGGGTCAGTGTCGAGGCTGGGGGTCAGTGTTGAGGCTGGGGGTCAGTGTCGAGGCTGGGGGTCAGTGTTGAGGTTGTGGGTCAGTGTCGAGGCTGGGGGTCAGTGTTGAGGCTGTGGGTCAGTGTTGAGGCTGTGGGTCAGTGTTGAGGCTGTGGGTCAGTGTCGAGGCTGGGGTCAGTGTTGAGGCCGTGTGTCCATATCGCGTCTGTGCATTCAAATGCATCATATTTGCAGAACAGCACCCAGCGATATTCTTTGATTGCATCTCCCTTCGGAGTGTCAAACCCCGCAGCACGAGCGGCACGGCGCTCACTGCTCCTTCCTCGGCACCGTCGCGCGGGACTGGGCTCGCGAAGCCGCCCGCTGCGGCCGCCCCCTGTTCCTGGCCTGCCGCCCCCTTCAGGCGACCTTTGCCCTCGCCTCCGCTGCTGCCCGCGGCGTCGGACACGTCCGAGGCGGCCCTCGTCGGGAGCGCCGGTGGCAGCTGCGGCGTCGGCGCGGGCCCCGCGGCCGCGCTGCGGTACGAGGGCGAGTACTGCAGCTCCCAGAACACGGAGAGGTCGGCCAGGCTGTCCCTCCAGGAGCAGGGCCGTGCCCTCTGTCGTGAGGAACAACAACAATGACGACCAAGGTAAAAGCGGCAGCAACAATGACGCGGTGGCAACATTGTTCGTCGTGAGGACAACCGCCGAGCGACGCGGACGAAATTCACTTTGTGGGGTGGAAAGCGATAGAGGAGGGGAAGAGAAGCAGAGAGAGAGAGAGACAGCAGCAGCAGAGACGACGTCACAGAGTTCAGAGGTCACGACCGGACAGGAGCGGCCGCGGGACACTGAAATTCCGCTCGGCACTCACCGCTCCGAACGCCGTCGCGTTCAACGCCGTCGCGTTCAGCGCCGGCGCCGTGTGCGGCCGAGTGCCGCGCTGGGCCGACCCCCTCGGTCCCGATGGACGCGGCTCCGCCGAGTCTCCCGCGCTGGACGTGGGGTACGACGAGGAGGAGGTCGTCACCGGCGCCGCTCCCCTCCGCGTGCCGGCGCTCCATCCCTCCTCCTCCCCCTCCGCCGCCGCCGCCGTTGGCCTCGCGCCGCCTGCCGTGGTCACGGCGGCGGCGGCGGTCCCCGCGTCGGTCGCCGCCCCGGCTACCCGGCGTTCGCCAGGCCCCGAGCGGAACGAGTGCATCCTCTGGGCGAAGGCGCAGGTGCGTGCGTGGGCCGCGCGCCGGCGCTCCGACCTCTCCCACAGGTGCGCCGAGAGCGGCCGTAGAGACGCCGGGAGGCGCGGCGTGAGCGTCGCCACCTCTGGCCAATTCGCGCGAGTAAAAACAACCGTCGGTGTATTTGCGCTGAATATGTGTATGTTGAACTTCTTTCGCACCGCACGTAGACAACCACGCTAATCGGAGGTGCGGGACAAACGGTCGGGGTGGTGGGTGGGTGGGCGAGAGGACAAACTTGTCTGAGCTCTGTGAGCTGCGAGTGACATCACCACCGCACACTTGGCCGCCCGTGCGTCAGCCAGCCAGCAAAACTTTTTTTAATGCAGTACGAGTGAAAATAAATTACGCTTGCAATGAGAACACGGTACATCAAAGAGCGGACAATCCTCTGAAAACCAGGCAACCCTACCTGGGATGCGTCGCATAGCGAACGTCGGGAAACTCTGCGGACACGCCGGCCCCGTCGCCCCGCGTCTCCTCGCACCCAGCGCCATCTCCTGCACAAGGACGACACCCAACTGTTGTCCCGGCGACCTCCAGGCCGCCTCTGCAGGTCCTTGGCCCCGCCCGTCCGTTCGCGGGATGGTCCACCTCCCGCTCAGCAAGCGCGCAGGTCGCTGGGAGCCGGTCGCGACTCCGCACGGCTCGGCGGGCATCTCCGTCGGCCTCGCGAGCGCCTCCGCTTCAACGCTGCCGCCTCCCAGACGCGCCTCCGAGTGAATCGCCTCCAGTTGCCGCGGTTGGACGGTTGACTTACCCAACTCGACTTTTGCGTCGTATCGATTCTCCAAACCGATCGCATCGTCCCCGAGCGCCTTCCGGCGGACCCCCTCTTCCCGGCCACCGGGCCCTGCCATAAGATCGTCCCGGTCTCCCCTCGGGTCCCCCGGCGTCCCCCCGTCGTCCCGACCTTTCGTCCGATCCCCGCGCTCCTCCGCACCTCCCGGGTCTCCCCGCGTCGTCTCCGCCCCTTCGCCCGGCCGCCCGACGGCGCTCTCGCACGCGCCCCGGCCCAGCTCCCTGGCGAGGGCCGCCGCGCTCCTCCCGCGGGCGTCCCGCGCCTCCCCGGGCTCCAGGCGCTGGCGCCGCATGGCCGCGGCGAGGGCGGCGGCCTCGCGGGGCCGGTCGGCCCACACGGCGAGGTGCAGCGCCGTCATGCGCGCCGAGCGCTCGCGCCGCGCCACCTCGCCCCCCTCGCCCGCCGCCAGCAGCAGCCGCAGCAGCCGCCCGCGGCCCAGCGTCGCCGCCAGCATGATGGCGTCCCAGCCGCCCGCCGGCTCGCTGTCTCCCACTCGCGCGCCCGCCTGGGGGGGGGGGGGCAGAGGGTGGAGCAGGGGCGGCACACGGTTCACGGGTGGGCACGGGGAGGGCCGCGGTGCGGTGGTGGGCGCGGGGGTCGACGCGGGGGTCAACGAAGAGGGCGGCGGTGCGGTGGACACTGACGGTGACGTGGCCGTCGATTCGCGCAGATGGTCGCAACTGCACCAGGGCCCGCGGGACACAGGTCCCCTCCCCCTCCCGTCACCTGCAGCAGCATGCGCGCGCAAGCCAGCGCGCGGGCCTCCCCGTCGTGCAGCGCGCACAGCATGAGCGGCGTGACCCCCCCCGGCCCCCGCCCCCCCGGATCGGCCCCCCCGTCCTCCAGCAGCGTGCGCGCCTGCGCCAGGTCCCCGCTGCGCACGGCCGCGTGCAGCTCCATGCTCGGCCCTGCAGAGGGGCGGACAAGAGTGGGGACCCCCCTCCTCATCGCAGGTGGAGCGATCGTCGAGTTACCCCCCAACGGGTCCCGGAGGGAGCGCGCTGCATCCCGAGTCGGTCTGAGCGCTCTGACGAGTCCAGTTCGTCACGACCGGCTGCTCGGCATTTCAACATGATGCACGATGCACGAATGTTAATTGCAGTCAATTTGATCTTCGTAAAAAATTATAATAATAACCCGATTTGATTTGTTAAAAGAGTTATACAGTAATAACCCAACGTATCTTTATTTTTGGGCCACCCTGTATAGACACACATACGAATTGTAGAGCTAAACCAAAGTTAAAGCGAACAAAACTACGATAAATTCGGCACGCTACTGGCAGTAACTAACACTACACACATGTTTCGATTTAAAGCTTTCGTGACTGCAGGGATTCATCTTCTTGGTTCTTTCGGTAAAGTCACGTAGAAGGGAAGTAATAAAATAATACAAATAAAACAATAAAATAATCACCTGAGGACGGCTGCTTGCGTTGTGGCCGAAACGTCGTGAGAATTATTTTATTGTGTTTTAATTTTATTATTTTATTACTTCCCTTCTACGTGACTTTACCGAAAGAACCAAGAAGACTACACACATGGTGATGATGTGGTTTTAATGTCCACATAACCCATATCGTTCACAATCTAGCGTTGTAAATCGTTACACAGCGGTACAGTACTTGTTTGTATGAGAGCAGCTGCCACCGTAACGTAAATGGTCACCGACGCTGGACAATCTCGAGACGCTGCAGTTCAATTCCATCTCCAGGTGCGGCAGTTTAAACAGTGGGCCAACTTTCTGAAATCCCTAAATTACCTCCCCACCACCACCCGGGCCGACCTCCATCCATCCACCCAGCAGCAGAACGAGTTCGGTAACACCACCACCACCACCAACACCACCACCAACACCACCACCACCAACACCACCACCAACACCACCACCAACACCAACACCACCACCAACACCACCACCAACACCACCACCAACACCATCACCACCACCAACACCACCACCACCAACACCACCACCACCACCAGTCGATCAGCTTGGTCGCGTCTGGTGGGGTAGAGTGTGGGTACCCCACCTCCTCCAAGACGTAGCTGCTCTCGAGAGCGCCCTCGACTGGAGGCCCTTGGGTGGGGGTGGTCAACTCGAAAACCCGAGGGCCCTTGGGCTGGACCAATCACAACGAGTCCGGCTCCGTGCTCAGCTGGGTACTGGAGGTGGCTCGCTCTCATCCAATCCCTTACCTGGTCCACGTGGCCGCTGTGTGCCCCGCGGCGTCTCCTCTGACGGCGCCGTGAGTCTCACCGAGACCTTCCTGCTCGGGGCCACTGCCATGAGGTGGGTGGGTGGTGGTGGAGGAGGAGGTGGTGGAGGAGGAGGAGGTGGTGGTGGTGGTGGAGGAGGAGGTCGCGTCGTTGGTGGTCGTGTAAGTTGAAAGAAGCCCTGGAGGGTCTAGACAAACATTTGATGCACAAACAAGTTCACTCACCCATACAAAGAAACAGATCCCCCATATAGCCTCTCACATACTGTTGGGGCAGGTGCTGTGAGCGAGTAAGCACAATTATGAAGGCCTCAACGGCACACGAGTAGGTGGCCAACGCCAACACGCCGGACCGCCTTTGTCTCCCCAGCGATGATATTCGTCACCGAAGTTGGCCGTGAGCGAGAATCGAACACGGGTCGCCAGGTTCGTAGCGCAGCGTGCTAACCACAGCACCACCGCTCCCCACTCACCCACCGACAGTGGCACACGAAACGAGGTGTATTTTTATCTTACCAGGTGAGGCCCACTGAGCTAAATAGCTGTTTTTAGAAGCAACCTGGTCGCGATTGATAGCTCCACGAAGTGGCTTATCACGTGGCAATGTATAGCAGTCAAATACTCTAAACGCACGTTTCTAAATGTGGAGGGAAACCCACGGACTCATAACAAACACACCGAGTTAATTCTAAAGCCCCTTTTGTCTATTTATCCACTGCTAGATGAATGCAGCCCTTCCCCTCCCGTAAGGCCGTGACTGTGCGTGGAGGCTGTTTGTCGGCCACACTTCGTCACGTTTGTCAATACGCGTCGACGGCGTTGGAGGCCCAAACAAAAGGAGCGGAACCTGCCACTGATGTTAGCCGTGAGACGCTTAACTAAATAATAACACACAATACAGAAGACTCACGTCACTTCAAATTGCTCTTCACATAGCTGTACAGATACAGATCCCCCATGTAACCTTTGACAGATTGTTGGGCCGAGTGTTTTTAGCGAGCAGCACCTATGAATGAATGCCCCCCGGGCACACGACGCCCCACGCGGTGGTTTGGTCAAACCACGCCCGGCCGCCTTTGTCTCTCCCCAGTGATAATATCTACTCCCCGCAAAAAGGTAACGATTTGGGGTAAATGACACACGCGCAGCAGTGTACGCAAAAATATCCACGGTACACTCAGAGAATACACTCAACACATTAACAACACGTACATAAAACACATAACAGTTCATATAACGTACATAAAATACATACTCGACTCATAAGCTTACCATATCCTGTACATATACAACACATGCACACTTACAACAGACACATGACACTTCATTACCACACACGGATACATAAATACACAATATAATGTGTACATACACACAATACGGTAGCAAACTGCACACTACATACCACATTGAGCGCATACATACATAATGCAGTAGGAACACACAACACATACTAAACATGACACTCAGCACACATACGCACGTCTGATATACATTAAAAACCTTCCAGCCACACGCAGAAGATACAATCAAATACACATATATACACACCTTAACGTAGAGTACAGGTGGACTGCACAATCACACTCAGACACACTCTCTCACTTACACTCACTCACAATATGTATCTCACACTCCTCAACACTCAGAAGCTATCTTACACAAACACACAATCGGTCTTGCTCACAATATTTCGCTTACACACTCTCTCAGTCTCGTACTCATTTACAATCTTCACAATCTCTCTACACACCACACACTCCTTCTCATACTCAGTCTCAATCTCTCACACTCACACACGCATAATCTCACACAAAATCTCCCGCACACTCAATCTCTCTAACTCTCACTCACAATCTTTCTCCCGCACACACAGTCTCACAATCTCACACACAACCGATCGCTTACACACGCACAAATATACAATCTTGTACTCGCATACTCACGTTTCTCACACTCTCACAGTCGCACACTCTCACAGTCGCACACACGCACAATCCGCCCAATGCACACTCAGATCCTTCTCCCCCTCATGCACACTCGCAATCCCTCTCACACACTCGTGCACTCTCACACACCAGATCCCACCCACACACCTGAGATGTCTGAACATGTTGGGCTGTACCACTTGCAGCACAGGTACAGGTGTGATGGAGAAGGGGTAATCGTTGGCACCCTTGAGCACCCAAAGCAAACCCCGCTGCAATGGTACAGCCCACAGCTCTCACATCACAGAGCACAGTACAGTGCCTCACTGATGTTTAATCAGTTGGGCTCCCAGCGAGACCCCGGGAAACGTAATTGCATAACCACAACTCTTCCAATACACGCAGGGCAGGGTGGCGCATTGGTCGCACTTGTGCCCCACAGCAAGAAGGGCTCAAGTTACATTGCCGAATGGGTCGCATTCCTCTGTCCTGCTTGGGTTTCCTATGGATTCGCCCCCCCACCCCAAAGCTAGAGAAGCGTGCAATGTGACTGGCATGTGCCAAACAAACCAATGCTGAAAAAAATACCTGGAAATGTACTCAATTGGGATCACACACAGCAACGACATCGCCTCCCTACCGCGAAAGCTTGGCAGGACCCTCCTGAAGTGGAGTCTTGAGACTCTGCGAGACTTGACGGCAGTGCTTCTTCATGGCAAGGCCCGCGGGCCGCTGGCGGCCCCTGGTGGCCTTGAATGCGGCCCCCGACAAGACACACCACGTGACCTCACCCATCGTGTTGTCAACCCCCAATGGTCTCGAATGTATGGCGGCCCTCACACGGATGTCTTATGGCGAAAGTGGCCCAATCTGAAACTGAGTAGAGAACACGGCAGTGGCCCACTCTGAAACTGAGTAGAGAACACGACTGTGGCCCTCTCTGAAGCTGAGTAGAGAACACGGCTGTGGTCCTCTCTGAGACTGAGTAGAGAACACGGCTGTGGTCCTCTCTGAGACTGAGTAGAGAACACGGCTGTGGCCCTCTCTGAGACTGAGTAGAGAACACGGCTGTGGCCCTCTCTGAGACTGAGTAGAGAACACGGCTGTGGCCCACTCTGAGACTGAGTAGAGAACACGGCTGTGGTCCTCTCTGAGACTGAGTAGAGAACACGGCTGTGGCCCTCTCTGAGACTGAGTAGAGAACACGGCTGTGGCCCTCTCTGAGACTGAGTAGAGAACACGGCTGTGGCCCACTCTGAGACTGAGTAGAGAACACGGCTGTGGCCCTCTCTGAGACTGAGTAGAGAACACGGCTGTGGCCCACTCTGAGACTGAGTAGAGAACACGGCTGTGGCCCTCTCTGAGACTGAGTAGAGAACACGGCTGTGGCCCACTCTGAGACTGAGTAGAGAACACGGCTGTGGCCCTCTCTGAAGCTGAGTAGAGAACACGGCTGTGGCCCACTCTGAGACTGAGTAGAGAACACGGCTGTGGCCCACTCTGAGACTGAGTAGAGAACACGGCTGTGGCCCTCTCTGAGACTGAGTAGAGAACACGGCTGTGGCCCACTCTGAGACTGAGTAGAGAACACGGCTGTGGCCCACTCTGAGACTGAGTAGAGAACACGGCTGTGGCCCTCTCTGAGACTGAGTAGAGAACACGGCTGTGGCCCACTCTGAAACTGAGTAGAGAACACGGCTGTGGCCCACTCTGAGACTGAGTAGAGAACACGGCTGTGGCCCACTCTGAGACTGAGTAGAGAACACGGCTGTGGCCCACTCTGAGACTGAGTAGAGAACACGGCTGTGGCCCACTCTGAGACTGAGTAGAGAACACGGCTCCTCCACTGGGTGGAGCGGTGACGTCACATCTCCTGGCCAACGCCAAAATGTGTGGTGGGTGAGATCTAAGCCGGCTATGGGTATGACCGCCTCCACCAACCCACAGCATTGGCCAAGCATGGTGAAGTATGGTCAAATACCCCCCTCATCCACGAATCACACGGCGTGGGGAAGCCTTCATCCGGCAGTGGATAGAAAAATGGCCGCAGTTAATTGTTGCGGTAATTTGAAAATGTTTTCCCCAAAATGTTTACTTACAAAGCCTGAATAAAGAAAAGTCAATTTGAAACCCCCAGTAGAGTTTTGAGATTCACGTTTGAAAAGTTGCGAGTTAAACTCCTGGTTAGGGGTAGACTCAACCCATCAGCTCTCCCTCTGGAGTCAATTAAATGAGTGACCACTTCGTGGGGAGTCGCCAATGGTTGTCCTATGGATGGACCCCGCCATAAAAAAAATTGGAATTCCCACCACTCGCTCTGCAGGACTGTAAACAGGAGCTCAGCACCAATGCGTCGATGCGCAGTCGAGCAGCCAGAAATCACGAATACTTTTTTTTATCCATACGACACTGAAATTATAACATACAATACACACACTGTCCATGGAATATAATGGTTTTAAGACAGGCTCTAGAAAGGAACAGGCAAACGCACAAGCATCGGTGGCAAGATGTCAACTACTTCGCCTGGTATACAGGAGGTCGTGGGTTCGATCCCGAAGCCTGTATATTTGGAGTCTCTCCAAGTGACGCGTGGATTTTTCTCCGGGTCACCCGGTTTTTCTCTCCACATTTAGAATCAACAACATGCGTTTCAAATATTTGCCTTCTATAAATGTCACTTTGTTGAGCTATCATTTATGATAACCAAGTTGCTTCTCAAAATAGCTATATAAATCAGTGGGCTTTACCTGGTAAAATAAAATAAAATAGTTTATGTTTTATAGTTTATCATGTTCACCTCGGCCTACCATATTAATTCATGTAAGCGACCTTGGCGAAGCGTACACGGTAATGAGCTTTGCGTTGGCGAGACTGTTGACCTTTACGTTAACTGTGGGAGAGCTCAATTGGTGTTCTCGGTGTCTGGAAGAGGGGGGGAAGTGTTCTCATATCATGTAGGCAAAGGTGCAGCTATGCAATTGCCACCTCTGACGTTTGTAAGACAAGACCGGGAGGAATATCTTGCAGCACCAGAAGAGAGGAGAGATGCATGTAAGCGCATTGTCTCTTGCTGGTCTCGTCAAGGAGCATGACCTGTCACGGGAGCTCCGGTCATCCTCGCAGCTGGCCATGAAACAAAGACGGTTACTGCATCGCGCACTTTCAGATGCGCTTCTGTGACCGTCTGTCACTCTTCCCTCCGAGATTAGGAAATCACTGGAGCTATGCACTTTGAAATCTAGATTGAAAACGAATTTCCTTGGATCTGCTTTTTGTGTTTGGTTGTCCTTCCCCCGCACCTCCAATTAGCACGTTTGGCTACGTACGGTGCAAAAGAAGTTCAACATACACACATACGTCTCGCAGTGGTAAATATACAGCCCTAAATTAGTTTTTGTTCGTGGCACTGCTGGCTCTTCACGCCACTGCTGGCAAAAGGGCCTCCACTAGAGAGAGCTCCGCCGAGCTCACCACTAGAGAGTAATTGGCCTACTCTTCCATACATACGTCTCGCATTTATAAATATTTATAAATAACGCGATCTGACCCAAAAACCTATATTATGAATAATATTGGTCGCGAAAGTCTACGTGTTAAACCTTCCACGCTGGCCAGACGTCTTGGAAGAAGGCGGGAATACCCACACGTTACCCCAACACACGTGACCTGCCGATTGACTGCGTGGTGTAACCCTGTGTGCACTGGTGGGTGAACAGAGGTGGTGGGGAAGTAAGAAATGTTGATTGTAATTTGGAGGTGGCTCAGAGTTCAGAGCGCCGAGCTGACACTTTTGGGATCCTGTGATCATACACCGGGTTCTCAAGTTCACAGGTTTGACTGCAAATTGGCTAAATTCCAGTTTAACACGAAGTAAGCTTTCGCGACCAATATTATTCATAATAAAGGTTTTTATTCGGGTTAGATCGCATAAATATAAATGTGTCGTTAACCCCGCGACCATCCGACACGGCCGATTAGGAAGGCTAGTCACGTAAAAACCGTGCCAATCGGTTACGACTTCAGCACACCGGTGTGTTGGAGAGTCAACCCACAACATTTACAATTATGGCAAGTCGCCTGATGAAGCTGATTGTAATCACCAGCGAAACATTTCACTCAAATGGTAAATGTGTTTTTTTGCCGAACTCCCTGTCTCGTCGCGACGAAATCCCCCATCGAATTGAAATAACAATTCGTTTATCCGGCTGTGTGGCTGCCCTACGAACCCGGCGACCCCAGTTCGATTTCTGCTCAAGGCCAACACCAGTGACGACTATCTGAACAGGTTCTGGGCCTCCCCTAGATCGACTCAGCCTAAAATGAGTACCTGGTGCGGTGTCTAAACATCGCCACAAGGGAGACAAAGGCGGCCGGGAGTGGTGCTGGCCCCCTACCCCCCACGTGTGCCACAGTGCCAACCTTCATCGATGCTCCTCGCCAACAGTCCGTTAAGGCGACACGGGGGAGCTTTGTCTTTCGTGTGATTCCATCATCACCAGCAACAAATAGCTGGTGAAGTCACACACGCAATAAGTAAGATAAAAAAGCATGTTTGCAAGGGTGTGAAAATCTGAAATCTGCGGACGTTTCGTACAGTCTCAGTCTGAAGAATGTAACTGAATAATTATCTTTGAACCAGCAGTCACACATTTAGTCCGCTTTCATTGGGGTGCGTAATTTCCTCCCAGTCTCCCGCCGTAAATATGGTCTCAGCCAAGTCAACTCCTCAGTAAATCTTTGTACCTTTGAGTATATATGTATGCATATAGCCAATTGTCATGTTTGGCTTTCCTCAGTGCACTGCGGCCCCTAGCCACACTACTCAACTATCACAGCATTCACTCAGACTCGTGAATTCAATCCCGTCGCAAGTCAGTCGCGCTCTCGTCTTTGGTGGGCAGTCGTCAACACTGGATCGGTTTTGACATTTCAACGTCTCATCAGCAGACTTGGGTCTCGCTTGACACCAATGCTGGTGAACTGCCCATATGTTGATCGACAATGACCCTCTCTCTATTACAAATGGGTCCCGGTTCGACGCAACGCTACATTGTAAATAACACAAAAGAAGTCTTAGTGTCGTTGTGGGAAATATCAGTAACACAATACGCAGACAACACGGTCTCTTTCCCATTTTCTGTCGTTCCACATATTAAAAAGTATTTCCTTACACATCCCACTTTGTGGTGGCGGGTCATAAACAAGACAAAGATCCCCCGTATAGCCTTAACATGCTCTTGGGCCAAGTGCTGTTAGCGAGTAGCATCTATTTAGGCCGGCACGAATCACGAGGGGGTGGGTGGCCAGCACCACCCCAGCCGCCTTTGTCTCCCCAGTGCCCGCCTCTCCACAAGAACACACGCGCACTCTGTTGACACTGGTGGCACGCGAACTTGGCGAGGGCCAAGTACGGGGGTTGCTGGGCAGGCAGGCGGGGGAGGGGTTGGGGAGGCTCGGTGTTGTTACACTTCATCTTGGGGGCTCTCTCACGGTTGTCCTCACTGTGTTGGTTGCCATGGTGCTCCTTTGTAAATAAAACAAACATATAATCGTTCGCGTCGTTGTGGAGAGTTTGAGCAACACAATAAATAAGCCGACGAATACATCTCCTTCGTTTGTCTGTCCCCCAGACATGAAATGATATAAAAGTACATTCCGATTTAAAGCTTTCGTGACTGCAGGGATTCATATTCTTGGTTCTTTCGGTAAAGTCACGTAGAAGATAAATAATAAAATAATTAAGGCGAATGCTTACTCCGACTACACAATCCGCAAAGCAATCACTCCAACCATGAAGAAGGACCCTCTTGAGCCATTCAAAACCATCACCTACCCTACATTGCGGGGGTCACAAAAACGATTTCCAAAATCTTGAATAAACACAAGATCCAGGTCCGATTCAACACAGTACATAAAATCCGTGATCTGGTCCCGTCTGTAAAAGATGTGATTCCAGACATACAGTAAGTACTCTGGCGTCTACAAACTAAGTTGCCTCTGTGGTAGCAGTTACATTGGAGAAAACAAACGACATGTCTCGGGCCGCATCCGTGAACACAAAGCAGACCTGAAACACGGTAGGACCAACACCTCAGCCGTGGCAGACCACTGTTATAATTCAGTGGGATCACATGACATTGACTTCTCCAAGACAGAGGTTCTCTGCAAGCCATCTGGCTACCATGAGAGATTCGTTCATAAGGCTATCCACATATACAAACACAGAGACAATTTCAACCGAGAAGATGAATTCTGGCTTAGCAATCATTGGAAGGATGTGATAAACCATTTAGGGTCTTATTTGATTGTGTTCACGCTTACGGTGACTTTCAGACCGCATTCCATTCTCCATCTCTCCCCCCTCCTCCGTTCCGAGCATAGATGGACTCGTCCATCTGGCCAACTGCCAAATCGCTGTCCGTGGTGCTGACGTTAAGAAAAAACCGCCACTTTTTTCAATTTTTCTTGCTGTGGTTTTCACACCTAATGACGATTGCTTGTGTTGCAATCGAAAGGTCGTGAGAATTTTATTGTTTTATTTTTTATTATTTTATTATTTCCCTTCTACGTGACTTTACCGAAAGAACCAAGAATATGATATAAAAGTAGTTTTTGTATCGTTACTTCCAGTCAACCACACGGGTTTCTGGGAGGGCGTAATTTGCGAGTTTTGCTTCAGGTGAGCCAATGCTGCTGATATGATGCACTCCCAGAAGGCCTTGTGGTTGATGGGATGTGTAAACAAATGTACCTTTATATTATTTAATGTGAAGGGACAGATATATCAAGGATGTACTCTAAATAGCGTCTGCTTCATTATGTTGTGTAAGTGAAGCAGTGTGGTTTCAAACCTATTCATCCATCTATGCAATAATATACTGTACGTACACCCAATAAGCATGCAACGAATGTTGGCCCAACGCTCAATTTTCACTTGGGCAAGGTGGCTCACCAGTAGAGCAATCGGAACGTTGAGAGTTCAAATATTGCGAAGTTGATTCATCCAATCATCGCCCTGTGGTCGGTAAAATTAATACCCACTTTGAGGGAAAGTCAAAAGTGACAAGTGAGATATATTTTCAAGGTATAGATGCGAAATATCTTTATCCACCTAACACATTCTTAAAAACTATTATTACTTGAAGAGACAGCGTGTCTTCCAGAAAGAGGAATTGTAAACACAGCGAGCTGGCTGGGAATACATACAGCGTGTTATGAAGAAGGGCTATTGCCTGAAACGACGCTTATTATATATGTTTTACTTTCAAATTCACGCAGTATTGTTGACGAATGTCAGATGTAAAACGATACAGGAGTCAACTTGGTGTTCCTAATGTACGTGCGACATCTAGTGTCGAGATTGTGAAAACCCAAGTGCACGTGTTTCAAGTTATCGTTGCAGCAATATAATTTTCCACGATACGATATGAAATGTCACGATGTGTCGATTGTCGCGATATCACTTTGACGTAACTTGGTAATCGTATTTGTAAATGTTTTGGATTGTTTTTGTGCTTTGCTGTACTTTAAGGAACGAATAAATATTTACTTAAAAGTTCTCCAACTGCAGTTCACTCAAGGCCATCCTGCCACAAGGCTTGCCATCATCATGATTATCGATAACACACATGTTGTCAGTAACACGCAAATTACTTCAATTAGAAAAATGCCATCTGAAAACTACGATGTAAAATGACCGCACATCCCAGGAATTATTCGGAAGAGCATTTTTACAAAGCATGAATTTAAAATATAGCTATTTATTTACAATGTTAAGTGTAAGTTGCCATTCCACACACATTTTGCAAGGAAGTCAATGAATGTATGAAATGAGCACTGATAATCGCGATATAACGATTATTTTGTAAAACGCACTATACGATTATGAATCTTATATCGTACTATATATATGGTCGTGTATATATTCTGGCTCTGAGGTGGACATTTCAAGATCCTAAGTTTTAATATGGTCAGCTGCCCGTCACCAATGACTTACATAGAGGCCCATGCACCTACCCACATAGAGATCCACATCGACTCACATAGAGACCCACATACCCAGAGACTCATAGACGCACGTAGACTGAGCTGTGATTAACCTGGGTCCTTAAGTGTCGTGAGTTGAAGGTCTCAGCCTGGTCATCATTGACTGCACAAACCCCTATCATATTAGATTTAATTCTATATTCGATTTGTATTCATTCCAGCTCGATTAATTAAAAGTATCCGTTTGAATGTGTAAAGCCAAATCCACCAATTCGTGATGGCTGTGAAAAGGCCCTTGAGAGACGTCTCCACATGGCAGTCAGAATGACGCGGCCAGTATCTGCATGGGGTGCCGTGGTGGCGAGATGTTAACTACCTTGCCTGGTATATAGGAGGTCGTGGGTTCGATCCCTACCCTGACACCTGTATATTTGGAGTTTGCGTGTTCTCCCCGTGGTCGCGTGGATTTTTTTTGTCTGGGTCCTCCAGTTTTTCCCTCCACATTTAGAAACGTGCGTTTTAGAGTATTTGGCTGCTATAAAATGTCACGTGATGAGCCACTTCGTTGGCCTATCATTTGTGGCCAGGTTGCTTCTGAAAAAGAGCTTTATATAACTCAGTGGGCCTTACATGGTAAAATATAAAATAGTTTATCGTATGTTACTTTAAGATTATCCTCCGTGTGAAGTGTCCTGGGTTCCCTTCAAAATATTGCACATCGCCATCTGCTGGAGACATTGCAGACTCCATGCCCTTGCATGAATGTGCAGTTACCATACTATGCAAGTTTACTGTGGTGTCACTTATCTCGCCATTGACTCTCACAGTGGTTTTCTTTTGAGAATGTTTCAATTGCTGATTCATTGGGCCCATGCTAGTGATTCAAGTCAAAGCAATTCCCTTCTGAAATTAATATTGGAGGCATCGGTGCTTATTTGATTGAGAATTGCCAAGGATCTAATCGCCTGTAATGTGCCCCCATCTCATGAGATCTTTGAAGCTAAGCAGGTATGCGCTTGCATTGTGCATGAATGGTTGAGCGCCATGCATTACAGGGTTCATAGGCTGCTGTTGTGGCTGTGGAGCTTTGCTATGGGCAGCAGAGGGCAGATAGCATCATTCATTGTTGTACTGCACTATGCTGCACGCCTTCACCAGCCAGCTACCATGAAGTATGGTCAAATGCCTCTCAATCCAGCAGTGGATTGACACAATTACTATTTTATGGAGACAAAGTTACATGTTTCAAAGAACACAGAAATGTGTAATATAAGCACTCAGCCTTTTTGTATGATGTAAAAAACATCAGTTCCTGAAGAACTGCACGGTGGTCGTCTTGTCTGAGGTCACCATCAAAGTAAATTCGAGTCAACGTGATCGACAGGCAGTAGCAGTAATGATGGAAATAACTTAGCAGGTGATATTGCGTTGGCAGTGGTGCACAAGCACACTTAATACATAAAAACTCAACACATTCGTCAAGAACATGCGCCATGGTATAAACTGCAGTCTCCAACACATATTCAGTCTCTGGCATTTCTATTTACGTGGTATGAAGGGCCATTGCCCGAAATGTCGTCCGTTAAATTATTTTCCTTTTCAGGACACAATGTTACGAGTTTCGTTTATTTTGGCACATGTAAAACCCATCGGGCAGTGAATGGTCATTTTCGATGTGGACCTGGAAACACCGTATCAACTTGCTTGCTACAGCAAAACAAATACGTGAACCAAAACGAACAGCTGTGTGCGTAGTCAAGTTGCGAATGGCAAAGTCGTGCATCAACATCATGGCACTACCAGCACAAAGAACGAAGCAAGGCTGGTAGAACGCATCTCGAACAAACAAAATATTGTGAAAAACAGCACCGAGGTTGGTAGGATTGTAAAAACACACACGTATTAAAAGTCAGCAAAGTAGTGCCATCGATTAATTGTACGAACACTTGAAAGGACATCTAAACTCTGAAAGTGATTTAGAATCAGAATATGTATGTATAACTGCAGGAGGAATCCGATGATCTCTACAGCTCTTTATTACAGATGTCCAGTCGGGGCAGGTCAGAATACAACAACAAACATACAAAACAGTGCAAAGTATAGGTAAAGTAAACATCATTAAAAAAACATATATACAAATGAAACTAAACAATGCTTTATCTTCCCAGGTAATGCCCACTGAGCTATTAGCTTATTTTTCAGAAGCGACCTGGCCATCACTAATGACAGCTCACAGAAGTGGCTTGTCAGAGGACCCTGAGAAAAGATCCACGCGACCCCGGGGAGGACATGCAGACTGACAATATGCAGGTGTCAGGATGGGATCGACCCGCCTGACCTGCTGCTGCTGCTGCCACCAGGCGATCGAGGACGATAAGACCACAACATTGAAAGTGGCACGAGGATGTTGAGATTTTGATGCCAAATATTGTCGCGAGGTTATTGGCAGAGATGAGGAGCCGCCACCTCACGGAGGGAATTTAAACCGAGTCTGGTTCTCCACTCACAGTAGGGGACGTTCATCACTAACAGGGTGGAGGAGTTTCTAAAGATACGGGAATTTACATGGGAGATTAAATGATCGACAAGTTACTTAGCAGACGTATTTTGGCGAATGTGTTGTTTTTTACGGACACAACTGTGGGTCGGCTTTGTCCCGATCAGCACTAATCACTACAGCCCTGTATCGTCACTGAAATTATACGTACAGCGTGGTCCAGATGTCTTGTGACTCCAAATTCATTCTCTAAAAATAATTTTTTTCAAGTACAATATATTTAAAACATACATTTATATGCAAAGGGAAACTATGTTAGGTGTCCATTAATTATAGGGGTGGAGTCACAAGACGCCTGGACCACCCAGTAACTATATAGTACACAAAAACCCATTATATCTAGAGGTTAAAACAACCCTCTGAGTTGGCATGAGGAGGCCCTGGGATGAGGGGCGGAAGATTATGGGCTGAGGATCAGAGGGACGAGATAACCGGTGACGTCATTTTCCTTAGCGACGGTAACCAGGGAGATGGCCATGTTGGTAAGGGGTTTACACGCCCTCTCCCGAGCACTTTCGACTCACTCCCAGCACCGGAAGTCTCCCGTACAAAGATGGCCGCCCACATCGGGCCCCCGAGACCACGAGGGCGCATGCGCCGAGGGTCTCGCGCGCGGTCGTCCCGCCATCTTGTCGGCGCGAGGGGCCGTGAAGCGCGCGCGCTTAAAAACAACAATAAACAACAAACAATAAATAAACAATTAACAACAACAGATTAAGATTAAACAATAACAATCAATACGATACTTCGACTGTTACAATTGTAGTTTATATTCACAATTTTTTTTTTACCTCAGAAAAGCCACACTAAATTAACACAACATATTGCAATAGGATTATTGCCTGAGGGCTAAACATTTTTTCTTGAAATTGTAAAAAAAAACCCGGCAAAAGAATATAATTTTACTGCGGTAAACATATAAATATTGTGCCCTGTTAATAAATTAGCGGGAGTGCAGAGGGGAGGCGCCTCCTCCCCGCCCCGCGTCCTCGTCCTCATCATCATCGTCGTCGTCTCCTCCTTCGTCGTCTTCGTCGCCTCTGGACGGAGGCTGCAGGAGGGCGAATGGGGAACGCGGCGGCGACCAAGAAAGGGGGCGAGGCGGAGAGCGGTGAGAGCTGCGGGGACGGCAGGCGACGGGAGGGCCCGGGCCTCGCTCGGCCACGGGCGGGGACGGCCCCGTGGCCCTCGGTGTGCCCTGTGCCGTCATGCCCTCTGATGTCGTCTTGCTGTAACATGCCGTGGCGTTGCCGAGCGATGTGTCATGGTCTGCCCTGGCGTGTCATGTGCCGTCATGTTCTGTCATGTGCCGTCATGCCCTATGCATTTATATCCAGTCATGCCCTTAGCTGTTATGTGCTGGTGTCTTGGCCGATAATGATTCCCTGTGTTACCCCGTGCTCTCATGCCCTGTGTTACCCCGTGCTCTCATATCCTGTGTTACCCCGTGCTCTCATGCCCTGTGTTACCCCGTGTTCTAATGCCCTGTGTTACCCCGTGCTCTCATGTCCTGTGTTACCCCGTGCTCTCATGTCCTGTGTTACCCCGTGCTCTCATGTCCTGTGTTACCCCGTGCTCTAATGGCCTGTGTTACCCCGTGCTCTCATGTCCTGTGTTACCCCGTGCTCTCATGTCCTGTGTTACCCCGTGCTCTCATGTCCTGTGTTACCCCGTGCTCTCATGCCCTGTGTTACCCCGTGCTCTCATGCCCTGTGTTACCCCGTGCTCTCATGCCCTGTGTTACCCCGTGCTCTCATGTCCTGTGTTACCCCGTGCTCTCATGCCCTGTGTTACCCCGTGCTCTCATGCCCTGTGTTACCCCGTGCTCTCATGCCCTGTGTTACCCCGTGCTCTCATGTCCTGTGTTACCCCGTGCTCTCATGCCCTGTGTTACCCCGTGCTCTCATATCCTGTGTTACCCCGTGCTCTAATGCCCTGTGTTACCCCGTGCTCTCATGCCCTGTGTTACCCCGTGCTCTCATGTCCTGTGTTACCCCGTGCTCTCATGTCCTGTGTTACCCCGTGCTCTCATGCCCTGTGTTACCCCGTGCTCTCATGCCCTGTGTTACCCCGTGCTCTCATGTCCTGTGTTACCCCGTGCTCTCATGCCCTGTGTTACCCCGTGCTCTCATATCCTGTGTTACCCCGTGCTCTAATGCCCTGTGTTACCCCGTGCTCTCATGTCCTGTTACCCCGTGCTCTCATGCCCTGTGTTACCCCGTGCTCTCATGTCCTGTGTTACCCCGTGCTCTCATGCCCTGTGTTACCCCGTGCTCTCATGCCCTGTGTTACCCCGTGCTCTCATGCCCTGTGTTACCCCGTGCTCTCATGTCCTGTGTTACCCCGTGCTCTCATGCCTTGTGTTACCCCGTGCTCTCATATCCTGTGTTACCCCGTGCTCTAATGCCCTGTGTTACCCCGTGCTCTCATGTCCTGTTACCCCGTGCTCTCATGCCCTGTGTTACCCCGTGCTCTCATGTCCTGTGTTACCCCGTGCTCTCATGCCCTGTGTTACCCCGTGCTCTCATGTCCTGTGTTACCCCGTGCTCTCATGCCCTGTGTTACCCCGTGCTCTCATGCCCTGTGTTACCCCGTGCTCTCATGTCCTGTGTTACCCCGTGCTATCATGTCCTGTGTTACCCCGTGCTCTCATGCCCTGTGTTACCCCGTGCTCTCATGCCCTGTGTTACCCCGTGCTCTCATGTCCTGTGTTACCCCGTGCTCTCATGTCCTGTGTTACCCCGTGCTCTTATGTCCTGTGTTACCCCGTGCTCTCATGCCCTGTTACCCCGTGCTCTCATGTCCTGTGTTACCCCGTGCTCTCATGCCCTGTGTTACCGCGTGCTCTAATGCCCTGTGTTACCCCGTGCTCTCATGGCCTGTGTTACCCCGTGCTCTCATGTCCTGTGTTACCCCGTGCTCTAATGGCCTGTGTTACCCCGTGCTCTCATGTCCTGTGTTACCCCGTGCTCTCATGCCCTGTGTTACCCCGTGCTCTCATGTCCTGTGTTACCCCGTGCTCTAATGGCCTGTGTTACCCCGTGCTCTCATGTCCTGTGTTACCCCGTGCTCTCATGTCCTGTGTTACCCCGTGCTCTCATGCCCTGTGTTACCCCGTGCTCTCATGTCCTGTGTTACCCCGTGCTCTAATGTCCTGTGTTACCCCGTGCTCTCATGTCCTGTGTTACCCCGTGCTCTCATGTCCTGTGTTACCCCGTGCTCTCATGTCCTGTGTTACTCCGTGCTCTAATGGCCTGTGTTACCCCTGGCTCTAATGTCCTGTGTTACCCCGTGCTCTAATGGCGTGTTACCCCGTGCTCTCATGTCCTGTGTTACCCCGTGCTCTCATGTCCTGTGTTACCCCGTGCTCTCATGTCCTGTGTTACCCCGTGCTCTAATGTCCTGTGTTACCCCGTGCTCTCATGTCCTGTGTTACCCCGTGCTCTCATGTCCTGTGTTACCCCGTGCTCTCATGTCCTGTGTTACCCCGTGCTCTCATGTCCTGTGTTACCCCGTGCTCTCATGTCCTGTGTTACCCCGTGCTCTCATGTCCTGTGTTACCCCGTGCTCTCATGTCCTGTGTTACCCCGTGCTCTCATGTCCTGTGTTACCCGTGCTCTCATGTCCTGTGTTACCCCGTGCTCTCATGTCCTGTGTTACCCCGTGCTCTCATGTCCTGTGTTACCCCGTGCTCTAATGGCCTGTGTTACCCCGTGCTCTCATGTCCTGTGTTACCCCGTGCTCTCATGTCCTGTGTTACCCCGTGCTCTCATGTCCTGTGTTACCCCGTGCTCTCATGTCCTGTGTTACCCCGTGCTCTCATGTCCTGTGTTACCCCTGGCTCTAATGTCCTGTGTTACCCCGTGCTCTCATGTCCTGTGTTACCCCGTGCTCTCATGTCCTGTGTTACCCCGTGCTCTCATGTCCTGTGTTACCCCGTGCTCTAATGGCCTGTGTTACCCCGTGCTCTCATGTCCTGTGTTACCCCGTGCTCTAATGGCCTGTGTTACCCCGTGCTCTCATGTCCTGTGTTACCCCGTGCTCTCATCGTCCTGTGTTACCCCGTGCTCTCATGTCCTGTGTTACCCCGTGCTCTCATGTCCTGTGTTACCCCGTGCTCTAATGGCCTGTGTTACCCCGTGCTCTCATGTCTGTGTTACCCGTGCTCTAATGGCCTGTGTTACCCCCGTGCTCTCATGGCCTGTGTTACCCCGTGCTCTAATGGCCTGTGTTACCCCGTGCTCTCATGTCCTGTGTTACCCCGTGCTCTCATGTCCTGTGTTACCCGTGCTCTAATGTCCTGTGTTACCCCGTGCTCTCAATGTCCTGTGTTACCCGTGCTCTCATGTCCTGTGTTACCCCGTGCTCTAATGGCCTGTGTTACCCCGTGCTCTCATGTCCTGTGTTACCCCGTGCTCTACATGGCCTGTGGTTACCCCGTGCTCTCATGTCCTGTGTTACCCCGTGCTCTAATGTCCTTGTTACCCCGTGCTCTAATGTCCTGTGTTACCCCGTGCTCTCATGTCCTGTGTTACCCCGTGCTCTAATGTCCTGTGTTACCCCGTGCTCTCATGTCCTGTGTTACCCGTGCTCTCATGTCCTGTGTTACCCCGTGCTCTCATGTCCTGTGTTACCCCGTGCTCTCATGTCCTGTGTTACCCCTGGCTCTAATGTCCTGTGTTACCCCGTGCTCTCATGTCCTGTGTTACCCCGTGCTCTAATGTCCTGTGTTACCCCGTGCTCTAATGTCCTGTGTTACCCCGTGCTCTCATGTCCTGTGTTACCCCGTGCTCTAATGGCCTGTGTTACCCCGTGCTCTCATGGCCTGTGTTACCCCGTGCTCTCATGTCCTGTGTTACCCCTGGCTCTAATGTCCTGTGTTACCCCGTGCTCTAATGTCCTGTGTTACCCCGTGCTCTCATGGCCTGTGTTACCCCGTGCTCTAATGGCCTGTGTTACCCCGTGCTCTCATGTCCTGTGTTACCCCGTGCTCTAATGTCCTGTGTTACCCCGTGCTCTCATGGCCTGTGTTACCCCGTGCTCTAATGTCCTGTGTTACCCCGTGCTCTCATGGCCTGTGTTACCCCGTGCTCTAATGTCCTGTGTTACCCCGTGCTCTCATGGCCTGTGTTACCCCTGGCTCTCATGTCCTTTGCCGCCGTGTTCAATGAAGCTCACGTCCTGCACTGTAATGCTCTTCTGCCATTGTCGTGATCTGTAGTGCACTGTGCTGTCGTCAGCGGTAGTGCCCAGTAATGGCTCTTCTTAATGCGATGTAATGTTGACGCCTTGCCCCCCTGTACATGCCCTCTTTCTTTGTCGGGTGAGGCTCATGCCGTGCACTCTAATGATGTGTCCTGTAATGCCCTGTACAGTCATGCTCTGTACTGTAATTCTCCCGTCGTGTGATGCTCTGTAATGCCCTTTAATGTGGTGTTTGGTAATTATTTGTAATGCCCTGTTGGGATGTGTTGTGCTATACTGTAATTCCCTGTCTCGTGTTATAATGCCCTCTGTTTTGATCTCGTTTAATGCTCTGACACTCCTTGTAATGTAATGCCCTTTGATTTTATAGTCTGTGAAGGCTTAGTAATTCCACGTGTTGTAATGCCTTGTGCTCTAATGCCCTGTCAGTTGATGTCCTGTGCTGTCATTCCCTGTGCTGTGATGCCCTGGGTTGTAATCTCATGTCCTTCAATGCTTCGGTGATACCATTCTCAGTAGTGTAATTAATTGTGCTGCAATGCCCTTTCAAGTAATAATATCGACTGCTTTCCGAAAGTCTTTGGTGTAATGCTATGTGTTTATACTTTATTATCTATATATAGCGTTATTCATGCTAATTGCATCCCATAACGCTGTACAGTACATTCATTATTATTGGTGTGATGCACTGTTGTAATGTCTTGTAATGCACTGTACTGATTGTCCTGTGGTGTACTTCCCTTTGCAGTAATGCCCTGTGTTCTGTCTAGTCTTTCTCCCTGTGCTGCATACATTCTATAATGCCCTGTGCTGTAATGCCCTATCGTATAATTCCAGATGCTGCCATGCCCTGTTATGCGATGGCCTGTGTTGTAATAGCCTATGTTTCCTCATCCTCAATTCTCT